CAGTAACTGCAGAAGAAAAGTGAAAGGGGGGTTAGCTCAACAAAAAAAAAAAGATGGCAAAAGTGCTGCTGAGCTTTTGCAGGGTGCAGGGGACGTGGTGACACCTCAGAAGGAGGTGCAGGGAAGCAGGAGCCACCCAGAGGATCAGCCAGGGGCAGCTCCAGAGAGGTGACACAGGACTGACAAAGGGCTGCCAAAGCCCCAGGGCACTTTATCTTCTCAAATTTATCCTGAAATTACACCCAGGGAGAGAGGGACATCCAAGGGACATCCCAGGTCAAAGGGGGGCCAGATGTGGGTGGCAGATGTGGGAAATAATACCTGTCCCTAAAAACTGTAGGAACCCAGAGCACTGGGAACATTTCTCTGTCTGCTCTGGGGTGTCCTGACCCCAGGGCAGCTCTGACTTTGACCCTCATTCATGGAGAAAACTTCCAAAGCCTCAAGGTAAACCAGAAACCACAGAAGTGTGAAATAGATTCTGTAGAAAGTAGTGCAGTATGTCACACAGGTGAGAAATTTAGGGTTTAGGATTTTTAGGATGTTATAGACGGGTTCAAGATGGAGGATATGGGGTGTTGTCTTGAGTTCCATTCTTCTTCTTTCTCTTTCTTCTTGGGTTTGGGTGGTACCTTGTAATTGGGTGGAAAAATCTGCATTGTGGGTCTTTAGGAGTCAGTTATTGGGTAAGAAAGGAAAATAATTTAGGTGTCACTTCTAAATTGGGTAACTTAGTTTTTTATTAGACTTAAAAACCTTGCAGCACAAGGTTGTTGGTCATTTTTGTGCTGTTTTTCCTGCTCAGAGTCTGGTGCAGACAGTGTGCTGAAGCTTTGATAACAATAAAAAGAAGCCTCAGCCTGCCCCAAAACCTCAAAGCCTGCCCAAAAACTTCAAAGCCTGCCCAAAAACCTCTAAGCCTGCCCCAAAACCTCTAAGCCTGCCCCCAAAACCCCTCAGCCTGCCCCAAAAACCCCCTCAGCCTGCCCCAAAACCTCTAAGCCTGCACCAAAAACCCCTCAGCCTGCCCCAAAAAACCTTCCAGCCTGCCCCAAAAACCCCCTCAGCCTGCCCCAAAACCCCTTTAGAGAGATGTCTCCACTCCAGGAGGGAGATAAAAAATGAGGAGGAAGCAGATGCATGGCTTTGAACCTGATCATTCACTGAGATGGGTGTTAAAAACCCGCTGCCAAGAGCTTTCCTTTTTGTTTTGTTTTTATTATTTTTTGCTAATATGGGAGTTTGTTTATCGTTTGAGTTTCTCTGCCCAGTGAACTGGTTCATATTTAATGGCTCACTAAGCTCTGCCTGCCATGGAAATGGCAGAGCATGTGTTTTCTAATTCAGGTGTGTGGAAAAGTGCCCTTTTTGTGCTGGAAAGAGAACAAAGCTCGTGTGGCAAAGGGCTCAGAGCGAGTTCTGCTCAGGATGGGGACAAAGTGGGTGGCATGTGCCTGTCCCTGTGCTCTGAGCTGCTCCAAACCTGCCAGTGTGCCCAGGCTGTGCCACCTGATGGGCAGCACAGGGCCACAGGACACTGGGGATGCTCTGGGGGACGTTACCCTGTGGGTTTTCAGGGATGTTCCACCTGCTCCCAATCTCAGGGTCCATTTCAGGGAGCTTTAACCTGCTCCCCAATCTCAGGATCCATCTCAGGAAGGTTTAACCTGCTCCCCAATCTCAGGTTCCATTTCAGGGAGATTTAACCTGCTCCCCAATCTCAGGATCCATCTCAGGAAGGTTTAACCTGCTCCCCAATCTCAGGATCCCTTGAAAGGATCCGGGGGTGCTCTAGGAGATGTCACAATGTGTGCAGATGCCAAGGACTGTTGGAAAACCTGAGCAGCTTTTTGCTGCTGCCCCATTCCCAGTTTTTGTCTCTGCTCAGGCTCCAGGCTCTGCTCTGCAGCCCATTTCTCCCTCCCTGGGTGCTCCCCTTCCCCTCCAGCAGCAGAAAGGCCATTCCTCATCCCTTTCTCTGGGCCACTGCAGTGTGGGAAGGAGCTGCCACCATTTTTCACTTTTTTCCCTCACTTCAGAGCCAAACCACCCTCAGCATGAAGACAGGCCAGGTGTTAAACCAGGCAGAAGCAGATTCAGTAAAAGGCACACGGTTCTAAGTCATGAGGAGATCTGGACCACCACTAAAGCATCCCCCCATTCCCAAAAACCCCCACACTGTGAATCTATTCCTTTTTTTTTTCTTTTTTTTACATCTGCAGGTAATTCATGATGCATCATTCACAGGGGGTGATGCTGTAACTCAGGAAATGCCAACCATCCCCAGCTCCTCTGTGTTTCCAGCTTGCATTTTTTCTTCCTTGTTAGGGAAAAAAAAAACCCAAAAACAACCAAAACCTGCTTGTCTAGTGCTACATGTTGTTACCTGTCACAAAAAGAATTTCCAAAAATGATAGCAGGAATCTTTTTTTTTTGTTTTCTTTCCCTTTAAATCCATGAAAATTGCCAATCCTTTAAGTGCAGAAACACCTAAAAGCTACACAACTGCAAATATGAGGCATTTAAATGTGAGTCACAGCAGCTTCCCTGGCACAGCCTGGCCTCTGGCTTGAATTGCTGAGTGTGAGGGATGGGGTTTGGTCCTGGGCAGAGAGGGGGAATTCTCTCAGGGGAGAGGGGGAATTCTCTCAGGGGATATGGGGAATTCTCTCAGGGGAGAGGGGGAATTCTCTCAGGGGATATGGGGAATTCTCTCAGCCCTTGCTAAACAGCAGCCTGTGAACATAAAGCAGCAGGGGATTAATTGTAGGGAATTAATCCAAATTAATGGTCAGTTTGAGTGGTTCCAAGGGCTTCCATGAGGTCACATCGAATTTTTTGTCTGTAAAACCAGTAGGAAGTGGAGGCAGAGGGCAGCCCCAGGGCAGCTCCTGGCAAAGGGAGGAAGCAGCTCCCCTACAAACCTCATTGTACTGACAACAGCACGCTCCCATTTTTTTGGGTATGATCTGCCTCAGCTCACTCAAATTTTCACTTCAGCACTCTCCATCCTCTCGAGTTCCAGTGACCAAGAGCATGGCAAGGTAAGGCCCAGTGCAAACCCAGCAGCAGTCAGGTAACACTGAACGTGCAGCCAAATCCTGCCTCTGCTCCTTGTTTGCTTCTGAAACGCTGAGTGGAGCGTCCCTATGGAAATGAAGCCGAGTTCTGAGTGCCTCAGGAACCCTGCCTGGCTCCTGGCTGGGTGGGAAACTCTGGAAGGCAAATTCTGGATGTTTTCCTCCCAATCCTGCCTGCTCTGGGGTCGTTCCTGCTCTGCCTCACGGCTCCTGTGCTCCAGGTCTGGGTTTGTTCTCCCCCTCTGCTGGTCCCTCACAGGCACACCTGGGCACAGGTGAGTGCCCTGAGGATGCCCAGGGCTGTGCAGGCTGGAGAAGTAATCAGGAATTATTTCCCCTTCCTGAGGTACTTTCTGCTGGGGGTGCCCGTGGAAGGAAATCCATCCAGGGAGGATGAGCTCGTTCCAAATTAGGGATGCCCTGAGAAACTCTGGCTTTTAGAAGCCTGACCCAGAGGAAAGCAGCTTCTGTGGGGCAGCAAATTAAATGCTTTAGTGATGAGTTCTTCTGGCACGAGCCCTAAAAGCCTGGAATCTTCTGCTAGTGTACGTTTTGGTGATGTGATGTGTGTGCTGGTGCTTTCAAAGCATTTGTGAAGTTACAGGGATGCATTAGAGGTGGCTCAAAGCCAAAAAAGAGCCTGAACGTCTCTGTCCTGCACAGGCCAGCTCTGACTGAGGCTGAACAGAGGCACCCCACACCACATTTACAGACAGGTTCCAAAAGGTGCTCGTTGGATGCATTTATTTCCTGTCATGCTGTTCCTAAAGGAGTGTCTGCTGCTCCAGGAGGAGTGCAATATTTGCTGTGTATTTATCCAGCAGGATAAATTATTCTCATGTTTAGGTTTGCTGTTTTCCTCTGAAGCCTGACTGTTTTTGTGTCACACACAGGGACCTTCAGGACACTGAAATAACACCATGGCAGTGTCTGTGTGTCTGTGTGTCTGTGTGCCCTGGGTTTTGTTTTCTGTGCCACCCTCACGTGGGGCACTCAGTGGCATCAGTCTTTGTCAAAATTATCGAGGACTTTTCCTTTTAAAACCCTACTGGTTAAAAAAAAAAAAATTCTACAGATAAGTCCATGGTATAAACTGTGTGTTCTGCTCTGCCTACCACAGGTTTAAATTGGAGGATTAAAAATATCCATTCTTCATTTCCACTAAATCTTAAGCTCCTTATTTGGTTTTTGTACCATCAGATCCCATTGTTTTTTAAGCAGACTAACCCAAGATTATCAGAAGGAACGAGACAAGCCTTCATCTGTGTTGGTTTAGAAACCCTGATGCTGATACATATGTTTTTTGGAAGCGTGATGCCCTCTGAGAGCTTCAGAACAGGCCTCAAAACATCACCCACTTTGCTTTAATTTCTTAAGCCAGCTGCCTCTCTCAATAAGACAGCTCAGTTTTATTCCCTAACCAAAGTTCTGCAGAAAGTGGGCAAGGACAAGGAACACAAAGTTATGCTGGGAGGGGAGCACGGAGAGGGGGCAGAAATGCTGATTTTTTCACCCGGGCTGCATTTCCTGAGCCCAGAATCTCCTCAGCCTCACACGCCCTGCAGGTCCCAGGCAGGGCTGGGATTCTCCAGCTCTGCTCCTGTCCAGCCCAGCTCCTAACAAGGCCAGTGGGAGTTCCAGCTCAGACAGCCTTCAGGATCTGGCCTGTTTAATTTGTGACAAATTCCACTCTGCAGGGCTCCTGCCTGCCAGATCCTCAGGGCTCCCTTTTTTGGAATCAAAAAAACCCAGTTGTATTTGTTGGGCTGTTTCTCAGATGCATGCAGGTAATTATTTCCAGTTACACAGGTATTGGTAGTTAAAATGTACCCTGGTCAGCACATCACCTTCAGCCCAGCCAACAGCTCAACCTGACCAGCATTAACACCAAATGTTTTTTTTTAAAAAAAAACAACCACATGAACATTATTTTTATTTCTCCAGCAAAATTTGTTTCTTTCAGTCTTTCATTTGCTTCTCTTCTGAAGACTCAAATCTTTATTTCAGACATCTGCCTATAGAAAATAAGTACTTTTTTGAAGGGCACATTAAAAGATGAAAACTGAAGCTTGAATAACTTAATCAGCATACAAATTACACAGATATAAAAGTTCTGTTTCATTGTCTTAACTTACAGTTTATTTTGTACAGAATTCATTATGTTATACATCTAAGACTTATTATATTGTATAAATATCTGGGGTGTGATGTATATACATATCCAGTGTTATAATTCAGCAGTTAATGTATGCATTTCACAATACACTCTCGTGTATTTCAATGTAGTGCACATGATTTCTAGTCCATAAAAGAGCACATCTGCTAGGAAAAATCAGCATTTCCTTCGTGGGGCTCTGACCCCACCTTGCAACACACGGGTTTTCTCCATTAGAGAATGGACTCTCTGCACTGTGTATGGCTGTAAGGTCTTCTTGTACATTCCCCAAGGTGAGTGAAGGACCAGCAGCTCCAAACATGAACGTGGGGGTGTTGTAGAGTGGGGCCCTGTGGGGTGGGGAAGGGACAGAGGGAGCCCCAAGAGTGGGGCAGGGTCCCCATGGGGTGGGAAAGGGGCACAGGGCACTCCAAGAGCTGTCAAAGTCCCTAAAGGGTGGGGAGGGGGCACAGAGTGGTCCCTAAGGGTGGGGAAGAGCCCCAAGAGTGGGACAGGGTCTCTATGGGGTGGGAAGGGACACAGGGAGCCCCAAGAGCCTGGCCAGGTCCCTAAGGGGTCCCTAAGGGTGGGGAAGGGGCACAGAGTGGTCCCTAAGGGTGGGAAGAGCCCCAAGAGTGGGACAAGGTCCCTAAGGGGTCCCTAAGGGGTGGGAAGGGACACAGGGAGCCCCAAGAGTGGGACAGGGTCCCCTAAGGGGTGACTGGGATGGGGAAGGGGCACAGGGAGCCCCGGCTGGGCACTGTGGGGTGAATGAAACAAAAAGTTTTGCCCATGGGAACTCGCAGCTCTCCTTTCCCTGTCCTGTGCATGCCCGGGCTCTGTCCCTGCTGTCCCTGGTGTCCCAGGTGCCCTGGCAGGCTGGGGGCTGGCACCAGCTGGGTTTTGTGTGCCTAGGCTCCTGCTGAAGCAGAATTCTAATTAATCTGATGGTACAGCTCCTATTTTTCAGACAATTCTACTTTCCTGCATACACACTTACATACATACATTTTGTGCCTTTTGATCACTTGGCTACCATTGCTTTGTTCTCTCAAAAGCAGAGACTCTCTTATCAATGTGTAAATGCTGTTCAGTTAACAGCAAACTGGAATATTATACATTCCATGAATAAAATATTGTATTTAACAACGTCAATTAAAAATATTTAGGTAAATAGCAAAATTGGGGGGGGGGGTTTAAAGTAATTTTAAATTGAATTTGCTTAAATTTATAGAGCATGTCGTAATTTTGAAATTAAAATTTGAGATAATAAAAGGAACTGATCAACTCAGAACTCATATTTTGCATCAGATATATTCATGTTGAATATATTTTCCTTTCATCTTATGAGAAGTAGCATAAAGGCTCAAACCAGGATAAATCCAAAGTAACTCCACTTTATTGGTGTTATCCCAGTTTTACTGAAAATAGGGAATTCTATCTTTTTTTTTTTTTTTTCTGTATTGCTTTTTTTCCATGGTTGTATTGCCATTTTCCATGTAAGAGCTTTCATGTAATGACATGTGATGGGAAAGAAAAAGAAAATTTATGAAAGTGCAGATCTTTCTCTTTCCCCCCAGTGCAAGATTTGGGGATTGGGTCTTTGTGACTTTGTGTGCCCAGTTGCACTGTTTAACTGGTTCCCAGTAGCAGCTGTGCTCCTTCCTGATGGGCAGCAAGTGTCATTTAATTTGGGGAGGATGACACCCCTGTGGCTCTAAAACCACCCCAAATTCAGCCACTGAGGCACCCAAAACCTCCCTGAGGACCTTCAGGGCCACGCTGGCACTTCACCCTCAGTGGCAGCTCAGCCCCAGGCAGCTGTGAGCTCCCACCCCCAGTGGGTTTGGGGTCAGTCAGACCCCAGGAAAGTTCTGGAAAGGCCAGAGCTCTCTGTTCTGCTCTCTGGTTGGGCCAAATACAGAATAATGCATTAAAAAGGGAAGTTAAATTCTAAAAAGGGGTTTTTATGTTGTTAGTGATAAGGATCATTGTAGGAATTCATATTTCCTTATTTCCTGGATCACTGAAAGGGGAGAGAACATTTGTTAAACAACCCAAGACTTCATCTGACGAGCAAGTGCTGCATCCCTTATGAAACAGAAGCATATCTGTGCTCTATTATTTCCTCTCCTCCAAATTAGATTGTAACAGATGCCATCCCCTCCCTGTGCAGTTCAGTGCCAGCAAAAGCAAGTCCCTAATCACTTATATAAACCTGGTGTCCTCACTTCTAGTCTCAATGTTCAAATTCCTGTATTTTGCAGCAGTGACATTAAATATGTTCCCAGTTGTGGATCAAGACCCAAACACAATATTTCTCACAATTTTCTGTTTTTTTAAAATATCACTGCTGAACTATAAATTCAAATCTTGCTTTGATCTACCTGAAAATGGGAACTCCAGTATGTAAGGCAGTTGCAATTTGGCTCTTGTGGTCATTGCATAGGATCCACCACAAGAACATGTGCTTTACTGGGGGGGGGTTAAGTATTCTGTAGATTCAGGTTTTTCCTAACTGTAATTTTCCACTTATCTCAGTCATCCTTCAGTAGTAAAAAATAGATGTGATGCAAATGAAATGGCAGCTTTGAATTTCCAGCTTGTTTTCCTTGATAAAATCAGATAGTCTCTTGTGGGGCTGCAGTCCCCATGTGTCTTTTCTTCCCTTTTTAATGAAATAATGGTGCAAAGTTTTTCTCTTTAATGGCTTCATGGCCAGGGATGTTTTAGACAAGGTCTGGGGCTGTTGAGCATGGACTTGTCTGGCCTGCTGAACTCTACCACCATTAGAACAGAGTAACAGTGACTCCAAGCTTTGCTTATTTCCTTGGAAATTTTCCTTCCTACTTTATGAATTTCAATCCCATGTTTGACTTTCTAACTCAGATAATAACATGTATTGTCAGCCATGCTACTGTTTTAGCAAAGCATTTCCCTTTCAAGTATGTGCTGGGGTTTTTTTTTACAGGTTATTTTTTCACATTAGCAATGACAAAAGTGAACCCAGGGCTACTCCTTGATTTTTATTTTCCAGGGTTTATTATTATATTTACAGTTCCCTGTAAGAAGACACAACCCTTTCCCAGTAAGAGTTCTAATTCCTTTCTATGTTTCAAAAACTAACGACCCATATGGAAAGGAGGAAGATAATCAGTGATGAAGGAGGTATCTCTGGGGGCTGAAGTAGATGAATAAAAAACTCAAATCATTATAAATATTACTGTACTACACTTTGGTACAACCAAAAAAAAAAAAAAACAAACCCCTTCAAAGAAAATATTTAATGTTCCCTAAGTCAAATAAAATTCACAAACAATATAAGAAGAAATTAACCACATGGGGTTTTTTATATCTGTAAAAAATAATAAGACTACTTGGCTGCATTGCACATAGGCAATAAAATGAGATTCATTCCAATCCCTTTTTCCATGAGCCTCCTCTCAGGCTGTAAGCAAGAAATGTCCACTGTGCTTTACAAAGGACGACGACTAGAAAAGATCAATGCAAACAAACATCCCTTTCTTTTCTGATTTACCATTTCTCATGAGAGATGACAAACAAATGAAGTCTCCTCTGAGTCTGAGCGCAGTTGGATTAGCATTTTGCTAGTACCAGGCAGTACACAGAAACAGCCATCGTGTGTGACACCTCCAACACCTACAGGGAGCTGTTTTAGGGGCACATCCTGGTTTGTGGTGAAACAGGGTTCACCCAGCCAGCCTCTTGGACCTGCTCTCTGATATCAGGTTCTCATCTCAGTACCTCCAGGCTTGGGCTGTCTTGTTCCTATTGCTGACTGGACTGACTGCTCCACCATCCATAAACAGAAGGCATAAAGGTGATTACAAACATAAGAAAGTAGTTTTACATATTGTCTTGCAGTCTTTCCATATAGTCCCTAAGTTCCTTGGAATCGCCAAGATTCATATCTTGGCATACCCATTTAATATTATCATCACTGTCAAATAGAATTGAGTTGGTGTAGGGGCCTCCATCCTCCGGCAGTATTGTTGTATATGAAGTGAACTTTACTCGCTTCTGCTTTGGCCCAGAAGGATTTATAGGTTCACTTTTAACTTCTTTTTCACAAAGGTACTCAGAAGATCTGAGGATATGATTATGAAGAGTCTTCTGAGAGCTCCCATTAAGGAGAAAGTTGCTTTCTTCAAACTGCATCCCTCTGTCAATCATGGTAGTGCACTCCTCTGATGGGAGCGAAATGTCCACTGGGTTTTCCAGGAGCTCCACCTCATTTCCAAGCCAGACCCAGTCATGGGAATGGGGGATGTTGCCTTGCTCGCTCACAGCAAACCTTTTGTGCCTGTACTTCCAAGCAAATGCCACGCAGTTAATCAAAAAGACCAAGATTGCTAAGCAGAAAACGCAGAGCAGCGCGTACATGCCAATCTCCAGGTCTGTCAATCCTCTGGAAGTCAATGAGAGATCACTGGGATTGTTTTCTCCTGGTATTTCTACTTGGGTGGGGAAACCTGTGAAGGCAGTGGGGTTATTTTGAAGCTGGCCATCCTCCAGGGACTCCTGATCAATGGGAGAGATGAAAGTTGTGCTTTTGTTCGCATTGTCCTCGGGACCGGCCACGTCCTCGTGGTTTTTGGACCAGTCTTGTGCTGTCCTCTCTTGTTCTGCAGCTTTCTCTATAGCATTGCTGGCATGGCTTTTAAAATCCTTCTCCACGTCGTCGATGTCGTTGGTGCTCCCTTTTTGGTCCAAATCTTTCTGACCAAACTTCACTTTGACGTTTCCTTTCCCCACGGCCAGAACGCTCTTGCGCTTGGTCTTCTGGCAGGGCTCGCTGATCACCATCTCAATTTTGATCAGAGGCCCCTGCCCGTCCCCTTCTGCCACCACCACGGGCCAGAGGGACTGGAGGCTCTGGTGGGACGACACCACCATCTCATCCAGGGAGGTGATGGACATGGAGAAGTCCTTGGAGTCGTAGACGTCTAAGGGCGTCACCGACCCGTCGCTGAACAAAACCCAAGCACTCACCACAGCCTCCTGGTGGGGAGAGCATTAGGGGGGGAAAAATAGGTGTGAGAGAGAGAGCACAAATCAGACACTCTGCTGTTAGAGCCTGAAAAAAAATAGAGTTTAACTTCTGAGCTTCTTTTTAGTTTGTTTTTTTAAAGAAAATGGAAATGTCTACTCTGCTTCTCATTTTCTTGCAGGTTTGTGTTGTCTAGACCACTGAGGCATTTACCTCACCTTCAGGAACTATCAAAGGAAATTTAATAAAAGTGCTGGAAAAAAACAATTGACAATTCTTTTTTTCTCAGTCTGAAGTGAGAAGCCTCTTTTGAATGCCAGAGCCTTATGATGAAAATAATCATATTTCCAACACCACGGTCAATTAGGCTTGCAAAGGACCCATAATGGGGAATTTCTCTAATGCTGCAGTTCCAGTGCCTCATGTAATGCAATGAGCAGGGCTGGAATGTGTCGGGCCAGCGAGCCCATCCAGCCCGTGGGTGGAACAAACTGAGAGGAGAACACATCTCAGTGCAGCACTTTATATTTTCTGTCATGCTTTCAAATATGCAGGACTTGCAATATGCAAAAGGGATTGTGGTCTTTCCTGGGAACCATAGAAACACTCATAAAAAACACCATTTTTATGTTCTGACCAAACCAATTTGTCTTCTTACTGGAAATTGCTAGTGCAAAAAAATATAGTTACACTTTCTGCACTGGTGTAGAACCTCAGTTCTATGATATTTATTTAAAAACCACATACGGAATTTGTTCTGTGGTCTCATTAAAAGCTATTTAATTCCTTGGATTATATGGTTCAAAGCAAGCACAAACTCATCAGTTTTCAGCAATGCAGGTCATGAAAACTTCTGCACCAGCAGCCAGAGGTTGTTTTGGCTGAGCTGACTTTGTGAGGCAATTAAGGACTGGCACTCCCAGCCCTGCTTGCACAGCTAGGCTGTATTTCCCCAGAGAAAAGGAGATTTTTGTGGCACATCCATGCTTTGTTTGGCACTGTGCATTCCCAGACAGGTCCCTCCCTTTCCCTGTGCTGTGCAGGTGCCCAGAGCAGCTCTGTGGTCACTGAGAAGGGGTCAGGAAGATGAACAGCCTTTACCACAAGAAGTGACTGCTTTTCACAGCCATACATTCATTATATCTGCTGCCTGAAATGTACAGCAAATTCCTGTGCCAGAGCAGAGGGAACACCTAAATTATTAATAATTTGCTGTATTCTTTAGGAGCATACCTGCTTGGGAGTGCGCAGGATGTCGTGGGCAGAGGTGGTGGCAACGATGGCTCTCTTATTTCCTTTGCTGCTCTGGAAGGACACAGACAAGCCTGACACCAGCTGCACCCCCAGGTCAGTAATGGTCACCCTGTCATCCAGAACTATCACTGTCTTCTCTGCCAGGATGGAATCCGAGAGAGGGGACAGAACCTGGGAAGAGAAAGGAAACAGCCTGCATGAAACAGCAATGAAGTATTGTAAAGCAAGCCTGGCTTCTAACCAGCACACCAGATTAATCCTGGGTTTGTCACATCCATGTCCAAGCCAGACCTGATGTTTCCCCCAAGACATTACACTCATTTGCTGCTAAGTTACTTTATTTTTAAAAAATAATTTAATAAAGCAACAAATCACTTCAAAATTGCAGCTTGATCTTGACTATATATATATAATATAGAATAAATTAAATAGATTTGTTGGGGTTTTTTTGAAAGTCATTTTTGTGGGGTCTATAAAACTCCCTGTTAATGCAGTGCAGCACAGGACAGAGTGTAAGACTGATTAACACTGAAACTCAGTGAGGGGATAAATAAGTGCTCAAAGCCTGGCTGATAGGAACTTGGCCTGTTGCCTTTCCAGGGACAGAGGACCTGAATGAAATCAAAGTGAGACTTGCAAAAGAACTTTGAAAATCCCACTGGGTGCCTGCCTGCATTTTTCAATGCCAAAACACTCCTGCCAGTTGCTCTAAGACCTTGTTCCAGAAAGAGACTCATCTTCATACTGGTGACAGAAAGAGCTGGTTTGAGCCCAAAATACTGGAGGTGTGATTTATCCAAACCAAAAAGAGCAGCACAGCTCCCTGCACTGGGGCTTCCTGCTCTTTGAGGGCCACTGGAGAGGAAGAGACATTTTAAGGGCAGAAATCCCTTGACCCCTCTGTCCTATTTATTTCAGGTTGAAGGGAGCTGAGCCCTAAAATCCCTGTGTTGACTCCAGAGTGTGGCCAGAACATTACAGGTGTTTGCAGCCCCTGAGAAGAGCCCCAGTGCTTCCATTCTTTTATTTTGATTAAGGAAGGGCATGAATTTGGATGGAGGTTACATGAACACTCTGAAAGGTGTTTGAAAATTACTTTTGTGTCCATGGTTTGTGATTATAAAAGGACTAATTTTTCAAATATAATCAAGCATATAAAGGTGCAGGTATGCATTTGGTAAAATTTCCCAATAGTTATTATGGTCATATGGTCCCACTGAAGTTAAAAGGAGCTGGTTCTGTGCCTCATGTCATCTCTTTCAGCAGCCAGAGAAATCTCCTTGTGTTCCAGTCACACTGAGATGGATAAATCCCTACAAAAGCTTCACCTAAGGCAAATTTATGGAAGTGACAAACAACCACAGTGAAAAGCCGTTCAAACTTTCTTTTCTGTTTAGCATGCCCGTTTTTTCAGCTGCTTTTTTTCCCCCCCCCCGAGATCAGTGACTTTTTTACACCAAGCCTGAGCCCCGCTGAGGCAGGCTGTGTGTGTGACCCGAGCCCTGGCCGGGGCTGTACCTGCACCGTGGTGATGCCCTGCTCACGCCCAGCCAGCACCCGACCGTCCTGCAGCTTGGCAACCCTGGGCTCCTCCACCTTCATGAAATCTGCCACCAGCTCCGTGATGTCAAAGTGCCACTCCGAGCCCAGCAGGAAGCTCAGCTGGCCACCAAACTCCGAGGATTCGGCCACGAACTGCGTCAGGACCCTGACCAGGGCGTGCTGGTACTGCAGGGTGCAGCCTTTGCCTTTCTTCTCATCGTCTTCTTCATCCTCGCTGTCCCGGGTGGGCCTGTGAACACAGGGCTTGGTTAGCTGTGGCTGTCCAGGGCTTCCCTCTGGCTGCCCTGGCAGGGTCAGAACCCCCCTGGACAGAGCCCCCAGAGACACTCTCTGCGATCTCTAGCCATGGAAAAGAGTTTGCAATCTTACAGGATGAATTACCAGCTCTGAGTGTTTGATATAAGTTATAATTAAGTGTGGCACGGGTGCAAAAGTAAAAAGTAAAAAAAAAAACCACACCAACACACTCATTTTCATCAGTGTTGATGTTCTCACCTGCTGCTGGGTGAGACAGGAGATCTGGGCTGGGATGGGCAGGTTAGTGAATCCTGGGCAGGTGTTTGTGCAGCTTTCTGCTGCTGTGCACTTTCAAAGCTACTGACGCTTCTTCCAGTAAATCCTTGGCTTGTGTGGGACCTCCCAGCAGCTTGGAAAGGGATCCCAGGGGAGCCACTGCCCCTTCTCCAGGCAGCAGAAGGCTCAGGGAAGCAGAGGGAGATGCTGAGGAGAGGGCAGCTGTGCAGCAAAGCAGCTCACCAGGTGGGAGAAGGTGTTTTACCATCCTTTTAACATCTGTATTTATGTCTGAGCTCTTCCCTTCTCACCTCCTCTAACTCCTCTGGCAGCCCCTGCTGAGGCAGAGGCACACAGCTGATCCCCATCCATCCCTCTGCTTTTGGGAATTTTGGGAAACACACCTGGACTGCCCCTTCACCTCACACAGCCCATACAGTCCCTGGTGTGCTCGGTCACACACTCAGTGACCTCAAGTGGCTCCCAAAAAAACCAAATCAGGCATTTAGGCTCCCACTCAAAGCAGGGTTACTCAGATCACAGCCTGCACAAACACCTGCAGCATCAGACACACGGCCTGCAATCTTTTCTATCTGTCCCCCTTTGGAAACAGAGCCTGTGAAATAAAACAGCTTTCCCCAGAGCTCAGCGAGGCATCGCAGTGATTTGTACATGATAGCACTGCTGTCACACCTGACAGATTTTTTTTTCTGCCTAAAGACTCAGTCTACCACCAATATTAATATTTTATATTTTTTTTTCTCTTGCTCATTGCCTGGCACAAACACATGGATCCTCTTATCTCTTCCAAGTCAGGTATTAAGCAGTAGGTGGTCACACTTTTACTCATTATGCCCCCATGCTGTGGATTCATTGCTCAGAATTAATTTCCCTCCCTCCTGTATTTATTGAGCCTGAAGCCATCACAATATCAAGGGTGGGAAATACAGGGTAAGGCTCTCATTTTTCAAAGTATTGCAGGAGGTAGTTTTGTGGTTACTCTGTCCCTTTATCTCCTCCTTTGAAATAGCAGCTATGAAAAACTATTATAAAACAGAATTGCTTTTATTATAAATTGTTTTATGACAAAGCTGGCAGCCAGTAAACTGAAAACATAGCTAAGAAAAACCCTTGTGCTCTTCAAAATTTCAAAACTGAAAGTCCCCGTGTTACAGAACCCAATCCACTGGAAATACATTTTCAATGCATCACTTGTTAGCTGAACATTTATATTCAGCCTCAATAAATGATCTGTGGCACCTTCTGGTTTTGTGTGTGTAAAACAAGTGTCCATCATTACCTGCTGAATGAAACATCTTTGAATAACAGTGGAATTGTTAGAGGGAAGGCTACAAAAATAGGGTTTCTATTTCCCAAAGAAATTAGTTTTACAGAGTTTGACTAGCTGGGTATTTCTGGGAAACTTTCAGTTATTCTCTCCTTCCCAGCACTGGTGTCAGCCTGCAGTCAGCTCACAGCTGGCCAAACAGCCACAAAGAAACTTCTAGAAGGGGAATGTTCATCGAGCTTCTGTGGTCCATATCCATCTATGCTCTAAATGAATTCATGGACTCCTTAATGTTCCCACTTTCCATTTATTCCTGTGTTCTGACCCTCTTCAGCCCAGCTGAGCCATAACCCAGCTCTGAACAATCCCAGACTTTGGCAGAACCAAGTTCAGCTCGGAGATTTTGGGATTTGACCCTCTCTAATAACAGACAGTAACATTAGTGCCTGTGCAGAACTGGGGAAAAACATGCAAAAGCTGTTCAGGTAAGGAGCACTTCTGGGATTTGGGGCAAAGAGCACAGAACTGATGGGAACCTGCCTAATTATGGGACAAGAGACCCACAGTGCTGTGAGGTTTGCAGGAGATGTTCACATATTCAACATCCAGCATCATTTACACAATTCCCTTTCTGTTCCTGTTTGTCCCTGCCCAGGGCAGGGGTTGGAACAAGATAATTTTTAAGGTCTCTTTCAACCCAAACCACTCTGTGAGTCGATGTTTTATTCAGATCCAACGGGTTGCTGTTATCTTTATTTATGTGCTTGTTTATTTCTACTTTTCGCTGTTTCAAACTTTGCACTGCTGGATTGTCCAAGAGGAAATCTATTCAAAACAACTGCAGGGAATTTGTTTTCAGCCCCAGCTGATAAATATGAGCTCTGCAATGACCAGAGGGAAGGATTGCTGCTCAGGGGCACAGAGGGAGCGCTCCTGTCCTTATCTCCAGGACTGTGTGGGCAGCCAGGATTTACCACAACAAAACCATGATTCAAGTCCAGCCCATTCCTTGGGGTATCTTCAATGCAAAGGCTCCATTTCAGCACACAAACATTGGAGATGTTGATATACTTCTCCTCAGAAACATGTTTTCTGTGGCAGACAAATGTGGAGCATCAGAAAAGCCTTCCCAAAGCCCGGGATGAGCAAGGCAGGCTCTTTGTCAGTGCACAGCAGAGGGAGGTGTCTGAATTTCCAGTACAAGCTTTGCAAGTCTGCTTTGCCAGGTCTCAAGTCCCTTCTGGGTTTTTTTTTGTGGGTTTTTTTTTTTTTGTTGTTGTTGTTGTTTGTTTGGGTTTTTTTGGGTGTTTTTTTTTTTTGGTGTTTTGGGTTTTTTTTTTTTTTTAAACAAAAGATGTAATTTTTTCCACTTTAAAGCCACAAAATCAAGATTTAGGCAGTAAGTCAGTGCTTTGTCTCCATGTGTACAACAAAATGTTTGAGATCCAGTGAATTGCACAGCTTCCCTTTAAACTCCTCATTAAAGTGTTTTCAGGAAGCTTAAAATCCTTCATTAAGCAGGGAGCTCATTTTCTGCTCGAGACAAGTCCTGATGAATGCAAGCTCTTGCTGCATATTGTGCTTTTTTCCTCTTGGTCATCTCTGCAAACCTCTCACAGTGCTTCTTACCCTATTCCTTGCTGCTTGGCAAACTTGCTTGGAAGGTTTTTTTGCTTTTCTGGAGCGAGCCAAGGTTGCCAGAATTACATTTAATTTCCATTTCACAGAGAGCAAGGCTTTGCCAGGGAGCTGAGTTAAAGCAGCAGGCTGTTCCAAGGGTGCTGCGAGCACTGATCTCATCAGTGATCTGTCAGCTCCACACTTCAGACCTTGTCTCTGAGCAGTTCCAGTGTGTCTCTCTTCATCTGCACCCCTCTCAAACCAGGCATCATCTTGGGCCAGATGCTAATTTTCTGTTTAAAAAAAAAAAACTAACCCTAAAGAAATCAGTTTCGCTGGGTTGGGGTTTGAAATACTCATTACAAAGAGTCGTATATTTAAGAAACATTTGCAACACCCCTAATTGAAAAAGAAATCTCTCTCAGATACAAATTACAAACCACTAGAAGCTGATTTAGTGGAGGCTACAGAAATAAGCTGCACATAACTCCACTCACAGTTCAAGAATAAATGTAATTTGGTACTTTTACAGATCTTGAAAATACAGCCTACCTATTAACAAAAATCTCCAAGGCCTTGTCTCCATAGGACATTAAAATCAATTAACTACAGGAGCAAATTTACAGCGTGCTCCAGCTTTGTGCAGATGCTGTTACCCAGCAATGGAAGGGTTGGAATCCAGTGTCACTTAATTTGCCTTAAAGTACAGCTTTACTTCTGAGGGGCAGCACTCACTGAGGGTTTAAATAAAGCAGGTTTTTTTGGTCCTGCTTTTGTCTCCAGAACTGGACAGGAGCAAAGCAGAGCTCAATAAACTCTGCCCATGCTGGTGGTGTTGGGAGCCTCCTGAAAACAATATCCTATCCCAGCTGCAAATATTTACTGAAATTAAATTTCCAGCTTGTTCTGTGAGGCTTGAGCCATGCAATTCCTATTAATGCAAGCTGAAGCCACTCATGCCATGTAAATATGTGTGCACAGAGCTGGTGCAGGAACCTCAAGAAGAAGGTAATTATTTTGCAGATGCATGAGGAATAGAAATAAATGTTCTTGTTAGACTAGCAGAGTCTGCCTGGACCTCTTCTACACTCCAATATTTGACTTTAATTTAAATATACACCTACTGTTTGCTGAGGCTGGGGGTTTGTTTCCCTGCACCACTCAGGAGAGGATGGTGGAGCTGAATTTCACCTGCCCAGGGAGGCCCTTCCTGTCTGCAGCAGCACTCACCAGAGATCAAGTTCTGATAAAATTAAAAGATTTGCCATATATTTGCAGCCTGATCTGGTATAGTATCCCTGTTCTTACACAGGGGAGATGAATTGGGGTTTTTTTCCAGTTTCTGCATAAAAGCAGCCTCTTTTCCTTTCTGTGCTCTGACAAGTTCCTGCTCTTGCAGCACAGTTCAGACCAGCTAAAAGCCAACACAGACCAAACTGTGCAGGGGGTGTTTGTAAAAGTTTTGTAAAGACCCTGCTTTGGAAACGATTCAAGAATAGGCAAAATGATTCAGATAGGCAAACATGTCTGTAAGCACATGTATTTTACAATTACAATCATGACAGGCTTTATAGGGAGAAGCGAGACATTTTACTGGGAAGTCCAGCTGTGATCTGGGCACAGAAACTCTCCCAGCTCTGAAGGAGAGCAGCTGCATTCAGGAGAAGAACAGCTCTGCTGATGTACAAACATTTCTTTTGTTAACAGCACCAATAAACACGTTTAAAGGATTATTTTCTATTTTGCCATCTGGCTCAGCCCCTCAGCCAGTGATGAGGCCCTGGGGCAGCCAGAGGGGATGAGAGAAAGTCTGGGGGTTGCTCAAGTGTCTCTGCACAACCCCCATAAAAATACTCCAGTATTGATGAGCAACTTCCCAGCAATGTTCAATTCCTACTGAGAAGACACGAGGAGTTGTACACCAGGAGTGGTCTGAGGACACCAACCCTGCAGGACAGCAGCAAAGTGAAAAATTGTTTTCTTTGTGGTGAGGTGGGCTATGAAGAAGCCACACTGCAATCCTGCCATGACCACAACAGTGACACAGCTTCAGTTGATTTTGGAGCTAAATTTAAGGCTGCCTAAGCCTGTTGACAGGGACTTTAGGAAGAATCCTTGAGTTTCCTTCAAGGACAGACATCAAAAACCTCGTGCAAATTGCCAATATTGGCTCTCACATGAAGGTGAAGTTGAAACAACACAATGCTATGGCTTCACCTGCTGAGAAATTCTTGGATTTGGGGTTTTTGCTAAGATAAAAGCACTCTGCTCACTCTCAAACCTACAGCTCCTGACTGCAGTCCAAATGTCTTGAGTGCTTCAGCTTGTCACTTAAAAACTCATAAAAACTCCCCAATGTTTAGGATTTTGGGAAAAACATAGGCGGTGGAGGTATAAGCAGATTAAAAAGTAAAGAGAAAAGTCATAATAATAAAAAAGAGCCAAGATGAAAAGCCACTAAATCTCAGGTAAAAACCATCCAAATCTAAAAATAAAGGAAATGTAAAAACCTAACGTGCAAAGTAAATGTCAGCGTGAGCACAACTAATGCTGGCTCTGAACTATTGATTCAGAATAGCCCTGCAAAGTTAAAAATTCCACATGAATGGTCAATAAAAGGAGAGATAATTTATTTCCTGCTGAACCTTTGCTGTTCACATGGGCATGGACCTTCTTGGGGGGTGGCACAGTGTCCACACTTTCTCTTCTCCTCCTGCAGGATGTGGGCCAGCAGCTCCAGTGCAATCCAAGGAAATGTTTTGCACCAAAACTCTGCAAAGCTTGCCAGCTTGCAAGAAGAGCAGACTCTCAGAGCATTCCCTTCATTTCAGCTGGCCAAATAAATCAGAAGGAGACACCAGGGGGAAAATTTCCAGCGCTGCCTCTAATGGGTTTAACTTGAGAACGGCCGTGGCTGAATGTCTGCTCCTGCAATAAACACCAGCCTAATCCTGCAGCTGTGTGCTCAGCAAAAATCCCACTGCTGGCAGCAGGATCTGTGCCTCGGGGCTGGGACAGCACAGGCAGGAGAAGGGAAGTTCAGTGAAGATTTAAGCAGTCAGCTTAAATCCATTCATTCCTCACCCAGCACAGCTCCAAACACTGATGTCTCTTGGGCCAGATTCTCATCACCTCTTCTGTCACAGCCAGAAAAATATCCACATAATCAAGAGGTCAGTCATTGCCCTTCTCAGGAGCTCATGATCTGACTACCCTGCAAATTGTGTGCTATTCCCTTAGTTTTGTGCCCTCAGAAAGTGTTGGGCACCTCTCCTCCACTGCTCCCTGGGCTCTTCAGGCTCTCCAGCAGCCGAGATGTTCTCCTGGGCACTGGAGAGCTTTAGCTGGGCCTCCTCTGCTCTGAAACCAACTGAAGACAAGGAATGGGAGTTCTACCAAGAGTTCATTTGTCATATTGGCATTGAAAAGGTGGAAAGGTCAGAACGAGGAAGACTTCATTGACTTCCTCATTTTGGGACCCCTCCCCATGAAAGGGACACCGACCCATTTCAAGGGACAAACTTCATGCTGAATAGATTTTGGAGTAATTAGCATCTAATGTGAGGAATGGGATGTACCAAAATGAGGAATATGTATTTGTATTTTGGGTGTTCAATGCTTGTATGGATAAAAGGGCTCTGTAATCACCTGGAAGGCGCAGTGTGGATTTGGGAGCGATCCCACACACAATAAACACACACTTTGTAACTTTAAACTGTTAGAGATTTTTTATCCCTCACAGTTGGATATCGGTAGTGGATCAACACCCATATTTTTTTAACAAATCAAAGGTACCTTTTGTTGGAGGTGACAGGGATCCTCCAGCCCTTGACCTGGCTGAGCTCGGTGTCGGAGATCTCGATCTGCAGCGGGAGCCGCGGGACCCAGACCGTCACCTCCAGCTGCGTGCTGAAGTGCTGGTAGGTGAAGTTCACAATGGTGCCCACCTTGCTCTTCATCTCCTTGCCATTAACGAAGATGGAGTCACAGCTCTCAGAAACCTTAAAAAAAAACATATAATGTATTAGGAAACAAATAAAAATTCCTGAGGAAGAACAAGGATGATACACGAGCCCTGAGACAACACTGCAAATATAAGTCACACATACTGCATTTCCAGTTTTCTAATTAGAAGCAAACAGTGATAAATGGACTCCAGGGAAAGAGTTGTGCATTCCTCAAAGGATACTACTCAAACTACAGAAATAATTTAACCATGTTATATAACCTGTGTGAATCTTTTATACTAGGCAAATTAAACTCTTCATGAATCAAACTCCATGTGCATCAACGTTTATGTTTACAACTTGCTTAAAGAACCAGGAAAAAATGGGGCCATATGTTAGTAAGAAAAAGACTGACTCAGAACCATAAACCAGAATCTTTTCCCTTTTCCTTGAGCACTGTAATGCTGAAAGACAAAGATCCCCTTATGGCTCATGAGCAGAAGTGCAGCAGAAGCATTATTTTTTAGAACTTCTCAGTAATTGTTTTAACAAAATGTATTCATAGTTGCTTCATGGCATTCTATGAAATCACTGCTAAAACGAGCGTGTGGGCTGTGTACTACAGCTCATCTGCCCTCCTGGTTCCGGGGATCTTCTGGCACAAAATCAAGGTCCTGAGCACAGATTTTATTTATATAAAACCACAATCCTGAAAGACGGGACTCCTTTGTCAGGAAGGGGTTTCTAATATGTTTATAAATAATATATTTATAAATATATGCGTGTGTAGTTTTAGATACACAAACACTATAGTTTTAGATACACAAACACACAGCCATGTATAACATTCATGTACATTATTCATGTTTATACACATCCATAACACGAGTTCTACACCTGCACGTGTACATGTATTTTATCTTTATCTGGGTTGCATTCTGCCTTGAAGAGAGAGAGGAGATCATCCCCCACGGGCTCCATGGAGGTGGTTTTAATCTTTTAAAGCCAGACTGATGCTGTGGGGTTGTGTTCCTGGAGTGCACTTTGCTCTCCTGGCAGGACTGCTCTGTGTCACCAAGGCTCTGGCACCCGGATCCAGAGGGATCCTGCCTGAGCCCGTGCTCAAATTCAGGTTTCCTGGAATTACTGAGATAACTCATGCAGGCTTCAGTGGGGAATAGGCTGAAACACAGGCTGAGCTCCCTCTGCAAACCCACCACAAATCTTTTCAGATATTAACAGGGATTAGGGGTTACCGAGCCAAGAAAAATTCGAGAAAATCTCTGTCAGATCCTTTGTTTTGCTGAAAAAATAAACAGTTTTCAGCTATGAAGTAAAAGATCTGTCCTTTCATATTTGCCATAATCAAGTCAGCTTCTCAAATCCTTCTCAATGTACTGAAATTACAATTTACACAGGGGTTAAGCCAGGTGATGAGGGATGGGGCAAAGGAAACGAAGCCACTCTTCTGCAGAGAACACTCCTCCACAGAAATGCTTAATGAACACAAGAATATAAAAACAATAAATCTAGATAATCTGATAAAGAGCTTAAATGGACTTGAGGCTCAGGAGTACCACAAATGAGATGGAGCACACTTGGAATCTTTTTTTCCCTCCCTCATAATGTGTCACGAGCGTCTCTGGAAAGTTTAAGCACATTAAGCAAGCCCATTAATTGAATGAGCAGTTGAGATTCTAAACCATAATGCTTACATCTAGGGAGTTATGAGAGAATTAATACAAGACAGAAATAATTAAGAAAACTCAAAGAGGGAGGGATAAACATCAAGGCCGGATCAGGGGAATAACTAATATCTGACAAGACAGCAGCTAATTTTTCAGATTCTCTTCTTGCTGCAGCAAATGTTCTTGTCATCAGGCAAGAAAGGTGCTAAATTAGGGAACTGAAAGATGGACATTAATTGTAGCTATAAAAATATCAGTCTAGGTGTTGGAGTGCTGGAAGCTGAGAATTTTAAACTTTCTGTGCTGAGACCCACAAGAGAACACTGCATTTGACCTGAGGCCGTGGAGAAGGCTTCCAAAATTGATTAACAGCACTGGGATTGTGGTGTGTAGCTTGATTAGAAATCTGTGGTACTTTGTGGTGGAAAATTCAGAGTTTTTAAGGTTTTAGAATATAGCAATATATGTAGAGCAAGGTGGAGGTTTTAGGGCAGAGGCTGGTCCTTCTTCTTCACCTTTTTCCTTCTTTTCATGGGTTTGGGTGGTATTGTGCAATTGGACAGAAAAGTTTGCAGTACAGGACAAAAGGGATTAGCTATTGGGTTAAAATTAAAAATAATTTAGGTGTCATTTCTTAATTGGATAGTTTAGCCTTAAAATAGCTTGTAGAGAAAGACAGTTAGCCATTCTGTAGCTTGTTAGTAGAATGCTGTAGCACTCAGGACTTGTGACCTCGATAAGAAATCATAAAAGCTGAGTCTGAACACGAAATACATCTCGAGAGATCCAACCCCGACCTTGGAGAGGCAGAAAAGAATCCAGGACCAGCAGGGAGTGGTGTGAGGACACTTGTTGAGGCTGGGACCTCTCTGAAGAAACAGAGATAACCGCAGCTGTGAGCTGGAAAGGAAAAAAACCCAGGGAAAAGAAAGGAGAGGAAAAAGAAGGAAAAATAACTCAGAAATCCCTACATGCTGGTGAAACCAGAACGTGGACGCTGACACCGAAACGTGGAGAAAAATTACCCCACCCATCCATAGTCTTTAATTTAACTACTAAAAATCTTCATTTTAACTACAAAAGCACAACTAATCGCTATAACATAATACATACAGTAATAATCTCCGCAGTTACTGCATGTAAGCCGTATAATGTGCATTTTTCACAGTACAACGCTGCTACACATCAGAACGCAGCAGCAGGAAAACTTCCTTTGCCCCGGTTACGCAATTTGCGCAGCCGCCGCCGCGAGAAATGCCCCGGTTACGCAAGGTGCGCAGCCGGGCACCGCGAGAAATGCCCCGGTTACGCAATTTGCGCAGCCGGGCACCGCGAGAAATGCCCCGGTTACGCAAGGTCCGCAGCCAGCCACTGTGTTGAGTGCCCCGGTTACGCTACCTGCGCAGCCGCCACCGCGAGAAATGCCCCGGTTACGCAAGGTGCGCAGCCGGGCACCGCGCGGAGCGCTCCGGTTACGCGATCTGCGCAGCCGCCACCGCGAGAAATGCCCCGGTTACGCCATTTGCGCAGCCGGGCACCGCGCGGGCCGCTCCGGTTACGCGATCTGCGCAGCCGCCGTGCCCTGCACACCTCTTCCGTACGGAAACATGGCGGCGCCCTGTCCGTGGATTATGCCCGGCGCCATTTTGTGTTCCGCCTCCTGCTGCAGCGCCGCCTCTGGCCGCCGCCATTATTGCACCCCCCAATTATACAACAACAATGCTAACACCAATTCCTCATAGAGAAGGAATTGATAGATAGAAATTATAGATAGATTACGGATACATATTATAATATTGGGGTTTTTTGCAAATTTTAAAATGGATTTTATATGTGTGATGTTAAAGTAACTTTGTTCTAACTATACAGTTTTCTACTGTTATAGTAGAAATATAGTATAGTATTTAGTATTTCTATAGTATTTCTACTGTTAATTAAGCTTAGACATAGTAGTGAAATAGCTATGCTTGTGTTAAAATGCCTGCTTGGATGGGATAACATCCAATGAACACAGGATGAGGACACCTGCTACATCCGATATGCCAACATATACATATAGATTGCATACAGATATGCATATAGATATACATACAGATCTGCCAACCATCAGCACTCCCCATCTGAAGGCACTGAGGACCAAGGCCCAAACTGGAAGTGATAAGGAGAAGGCGCCAAAACCACAGCCAAGAAACACACATGCTCTAAAAAAGCAGACCCAAGGAGGGGCCATGTAAAATAGCTCCTGGAAAATGTAAACAAGTTTGTGGATATGCATAAGGGTTATGAATATGCAACAGGCTGGTGTAAGGGAAAAGATATTTAAGGGGGATCCCCGAAGGTGACAGGGTGTTCTTGGCTGAGTGCAAGATGCACCCAGCCATAAAATAACCTTTGCTTTATGGTCCTTGTCTCCTCTTGTCCTTTAATGAACTTTTTCCATTTTCACAGGAGAGTGAACGTGTTTTTCACAAGGGAAAGAAATGAATACCGCCTTGAAACTTAAAGAAAGAACATCTTTGCAGGACACAACCCCACAGAACAAAAACAGAGAATTTGTCCCATTTCCTTGGATTCCAGAAGCCATCTCAAATAATAATACAAAAGGTCCTTCAAGAGACATACCAAATTCTACCAAATTCTTGTAATTGTCCTAACTCTAAACTTTATTACTCTAATTGTATGACTATTTTTATAATAATTTTATTATTATTAAACTTAAAATTTTAAAAACCAAGCGATTGGCATTTTTCACACTCTCAAATCTCTCCTGCAAACACTACACACAGTGAGAAGAATCAGCAAAATGTAAAATGCACGGAGCAAGGCTGTTTCAAGCAGTCTGTCACCATCCATTGTCAGCTGCCTGGCAGCACCAGAATTTGCTGTTTGAGACAGTTTGCAGGGGAGCCACCATGTGCTCCCATGTGCAGGTCAAGAGAAAGAGAGCTGCAATTAACCTCTCAGGGCTTTGAAGCAGGTGGTTGGCTCCAATCCCCACAAGTAATTGTAAAAAAGTTCAATTTGCCCTGTACAGTCCGTGACAGCCTCCTCATTTTAGGCTAATCTAGACCAGAGGAAGGTAGCAGTTCAGGGGGAGTAATTGGGAAACCATTTGATGTTCAGGTCACAAAGGTTTCTGCAGCCTTTGGGGGAGCAGGTGAAACACAGGGGACGTGAAGTGACAGGAAAACAAGTGATGGCTGCTTGTGGCTCATCTCTGCATGCAGGGGCTGCTCCCAGGCTCCACAGTCACAGTCCTCGTGGCTGTTTATTATTCAGGAGATTTTTGGTCGTGCTGAAACCCTGCTGGGCACAACCATTTTTCTCCACGCTCTCAAGCGTGGGAGGGGAGAGCGAGATCTGCTT